CTAGGACTTCCAATATATTATTGAATAGTAGTAATAATAACGGACTTCTTTACCTGGTCACTGTTTCCCAGGAAAACAGTGGAAACGGGAAAATTTCCAAGTTCTCAGTGTCTCTTCATTGAGAATGATGTTGGCTCTTGGTTTTTTGTTTTTTTTTTAATATATTTTTAGCACCATTGAGGACATTCTCCTCAATTCCTGTCTTGTTGAACGTTTTTGAAAAGGAAAGAGTGTTGCATTTTGTCAAATACCTTTTCATGAGCGGATACAATCATGTTGTCCTTCTTTCCTTTTGTTGTGATAAATTATGTTTATTTATTTCCTTGATAATCCTTGCATGCCCTATTAAAATAATCTCACTTGATAATGATGAATTCTTTTTTATATACTGTGGTATTCTATTGGCGATGATTATGTTAAAGAATTTTACTATTGTTCACGAGTGATATTGCTCTATAGATTTTGGTTTTTGATACGTGATATCTTTTCCTGATTTGGGTATCAGTGTTAAGCTTACTTTATAGAATAACTCTGGGAATGTTCTTTCTTTTTCTATATTTTGAAATAACTTAAGTAAGATTGATGAGATTTTATCTCTGAATGATTGGTAGAATTCAATAGTAAAGCTATCTGGGCTGAGGCTTTTGTTTTTGGGAGACTTTTGATAACCTACTCAATTTCCTACTTTCTGATCTGTTTTACTGTGTATGTCAATAATGGGTAAATTGTGGGCTCTTAGGAATTTGTCTATATCCTCTGGGTTTTAAAATTTGTTGGAGTATAGCTTCTTAAAATATGCAGTTGTTATCATTTTGTTTAAGGTTATTCTGTTTGGGGTGAAAAGAAAACCTACCTACTAGGAATAAACTTTTGGCAATACCCTCTGAGACAATTCTCATAACCAAAGTTTGTAGGATTCTCCTGGGTCTCCACAAGAAAAAGACTGATAACCCAATTACAAAATGGGCAAAAGACATGGAAAGAATTTTCACAGGTTAAGATATTAAAATGGCCAACAAACCCATGAAGAAATGCTCAAAATCACTGGCAATAAGAGAGATGCAAATCAAAACATAATGAGATACCATCTCACTCTCACAGCGGTGGCCAAGTTTAACAAGACAGCAAGTAATAAATGTTGAAGAGGGTGTGGCAAGATAGGAACTCTTACACATTGTTGGTGAGATTGTAAAATGGTACAACCACTCTAGAAGGCAGTTTGGTGCTTCCTCAAAAAGCTGAACATAGAAATTCAATATGACCCATCTAGTCCATTGCTTGGAATATACCCTAAAAAAATGAGAACTGAGGCTCAAACGGAGACTTGTACACCAATGCTCAGAGAAGCATTATTTACTATTGTAAGAACATGCCAACAGCCCAGATATCTAACCACAAACAAATGGATTGAGAAGTTGTAGTACATTCACACAATGGAATATTATGTAGCACGCAGGAGCAGTGATTTTGTAAATTGCAATCTAACTTGGGAGGGACTGGGGTGCATTATGCTGAGTGAATTAACTCAGTCCCACAAGGACAAATACTGTATAAAACCATAATTATAGAATGAGTATGAGAATCCAAGGGGGGCAGGGTGGAAGCAGAGGGGTGAGAATGACTGGGTTGCACAATTCAGTGGGTGGGTGGGTGAGGGAAATGGGAAGGATCTTCTGTGAAAAACAATGTATTCAAACTTTGCTAAGACATCAGTATAAAATAAATAATTAAAAAGTTATGGAGAGAAAACAAAGGTAGTTCTTTTTATATGGTATTGCTTTTTTATTCATTTTATATGTTCCTTTTCTATTTTTATACATTTGCCTGTGGTTTGTCCATTTATTGACCTTTTCAAAGAACCAGCTCTTGGTCATGACTGTTTCATTTGTTCTTCAGTTTTCTATTCCATTGATTTCAGCTTTTATTTTTATAATTCCATTTCTTCTAGAGGGTGTGGGATTAGCTGGTTGTTCTTTATCAATTTTTTGGATGTGTCTGCTAAAACGTTTGTTTTATTCCTTTCTTGTCTTATTATGTGTTTACTTATTACTATGATCTGACCTCTGAGAAATGCCTTCACTACATACCAGAAGTTTTGGTATATCATATTTTCATCATCATTTGTTTTAAATAACTTTTTGTGTCTCATTTTGTGTTTCTTCTATAACCAGTGAGTGATGAAATGAAGTGTTAATTAGCTGCTATATGAGCTATTTATTATATCTTTTATCCTCTTGATAATTTTGACCTATTGATAAATGTTTCTTGTTAAGAAGAAAGAATAGGCATATGAAATAAAGCAAGTTCAAGGAGAACAACACTGATTTTGCAGTTCAGAAAGAGTTTTTAGTGGGTCTACACATGTGTTATATTAGGGAACTCCTTTTTTCTGTAAAAGAACTCCATGAAAAAAATACAACTTGGCATATACATTAGAAAGTGCAACCAGAATTTTACTCTAATTGAAGGCAAAGATGGTTAATCTCCCCATCACACATGTTGGACATAATGTTAGGAGAGGCAATTTCTTGGGAAGAACCTTGCGTTTGGAAAAGTTGAGTCTCAGCTAAGGAGAGAGGAAGACCATTCACAAGATGGATTAATATAATCACTGCAACAATGAAGTCAAATGTGTGGATATTGATAAGAATATGGGAGACAGGACAGGTTTAATTTCTGTTGTTCATAAGGTCACAATGAGTCATACTTAACTCAATGGCACTTACAACAATAGCAACAATAACAAAGGGGAATAGGCAGTCTTCTAAGATTGACTCATCTGAATTCATAATACACTAGTAAGCAATGATCGATTGTATCAGAGACCTGGGACAAGTCAGAAATCTCATGGAGGATTCCAGAAGGATCCCTTCCAGCATTAGGAAAACAAGGAAGTGCTAGGGAAACCTGTCTGACTAAGCCTGCCTTGGGCACCGATACTCTTTCTTCAAGCTATAAAAGCACACAGGTTTCCTACTGGTCAAGTGTCTTCGCCACCTGTCCTCCTGCTATTGGTAAGATCCAGAAGGCCAAGTTAGGGAGGGCACTGGCTGGGTAGATTCCTCCCCCTGATCTTGCAGACTCACTGCCTCCACAGGAGCTGTACCTTGAGCTGGGGAAGAATGTCAGCGAGGTTGGCTAGAGGGAGGAGTGAGAATCAGGGAAGCACAAACATAGGGCTCAGTGTTTTTCTTTGTAAGCAACTAGCTTATGCTACTTGGCTCTTGAGTAGCCTAGCTTGGGTCATGTGAAAGATTGAGGCTTGGAATCTCTGTAATGATTGAGCAAAACAAATTCTTTGCCCTCCAGTGAGAGGCATGGGAGGCGATTACCCATCATACTCCCTGATATTAACTTGTAGATTCCAAACTCATGCCTTTGATGTGATAGCACAACTTGAGTGATCTAGTAATAAGAAGCTGCCCTATTTTCCCAAAAGAATGTGGTTTGAATACACCAGCAGTTTTGTGGCAGATCATAGGTGATATCTTCCATTTGATTCACAAATTCTGACATCTCCACAAGAAGATCAGCTATGTGTGAGTTTCATCTCAACAGCATTCAAGAAAAATAACAGGCTACCAGTGCAAAAGAGTGATAGAAATTTCCCTTCGTGCTTTTATGCTTCATGGTCTGCATCACCAGTGTTGTTCCAGCTTGTATTTTGGGAGACAGTGAACACTTGATTGAGCTGCAAAAGATGTTGCTCAGCCGTTGAAGGCCACAGGAGAACTGAAGGGAAGGCAGGGCTCTAGGAACACATTACCAGGGGCCCAGAGATGGTGAATGCCACTTTTGGAAGGAATACCTACAAAATCATGGGAGGCAGAGACCCAGGTGGTCTGTCTTGCCAGGTAGATTGCCAGATAATATTGCCAGCAGACTTAGATGGAGCTCTGGTAGCATAATTGGGTAAGTTTCCTGTCTAACCCAAAGGTAAGTGGTTGGAATTCACTGCTCCTCTGGGGAAGAAAGATAAGCAATTGCCTCTCCTGAAATTAAAGTCTATAAAATCTCCTTGGATGTACCATAATTTCTCAATCCATTTGATTGTGGTTAGACATTTGGGTTGTTTCCATGTTCTTGCAAAGGTGAATAATAATGCTATGAATATTGGTGTACAAGTCTTTGTTTGTGCCTCAGCTCTCATTTTTTCAGGGTATATTCCAAGCACGGTAATAGCTGGGTCATATGGAATTTCTGTGTTCAGCTTTCTGAGGAAACCCCAATCTGCCTTCCAGAGTGATTGTACCATTTTATAATCCCACCAACAATGTACAAGAGTCCTTACCTTGCCATATCCTCTCCAACATTTATTACTTGGTGTCCTATTCAACTTTACAAAGGCTACTGGCGTGAGTGGTATCTTCTTGTGGTTTTGATTCCTATCTCTCTTATTGCCAGTGATTTTGTATATTCACACAACTGAAAAGTATTTAGGTCACAGTAGCAATGATTTTGCAAAACTAAATAACTTGAGAGGGACTGAGAGCATTATGTTAAATGAACTAATTCAATCCCATAAAGACAAATACTGTATAAGACCATTATCGTAGAACATGTATGAGGATTCAAGGAGGGCGGGGTGAGAGGAGAAGGGTGAGAATGGACAGATGGGAGGGGGTGTTTAATCATAGGGTGGCACAATTTGATGGGTAGAAGGAAGAATGGGAATGATCTAGTGAGGAAAACAATCTGAATAAACTTTGTACATAAACCAGTAAAAAAAGTATTTAAAAAAAATCTCCCTGGAGATTCACTAACAGTAGGTTGTGGCTGAACTGCATTGATAAATGGTTCCTAAAGTCTCCTGGTCCTCTTGAGGAGAGGGAGGGGGGTAGACGGCTGGCTTTCCAAGTAAAAAAGAGAAAAAGCAAGCTCCAGGTCACTTCGTGGATTGGCCTAGCATGTCCCTGAGCAGATGACCAGGACACAGATGGTCGGTGTGCCCAGTGGTCCTTGAAAGCTCAGGCCTTTCTTCTGTGTCCTAGCCTATGAACATGGAGCAGCTATCCACCGCCAATAATCACTTCGCCCTGGACTTCTTCCGTGTTCTGAGTGAGAAGAATCCCACGGTAAACATCTTCTTCTCTCCCTTCAGCATCTCCTGTGCAGTGGCCATGGTCCTTGCTGGGGCCAAGGGCAGCAGCGCAGCACAACTTTCCAAGGTCAGTGACACTACTCTTTACACTGTAAATTAGTTTCATGTCTGTATGCAGAGCTGTGTAGATACAACAATTACTACTAAGTGTTTTTTAGAACAACCATTGAATTTCTGTGCCATCAAATATAAAAAGTCTCAGGCCCATGCTCTGATTCATCTTCAAACTTTTATCTCCAAGTTCCAAGTGCTGCTTTTTGCCCTGGGTATCCCTGTCCTTTTTGTTCTTATGTTCCTCAGTAAAGTGTTTTAACAACTTTGATATCAGTCAGCCATCTTCTCCTTGCTAGGAGTGTAGGATCTGATAATATATTTATCATAAGGAATACCACACTAATATTTCCTTGGAGCATGACCAACAATATTATCTGTACCATTTTCCTTTGTGGATGTCATGTAGCTCACCGTGTGGCATGAACATATTTTTTTTTTAAATCTGTGTGTTCAGTTGGGACATTAAAAACAAATTTTCAATCCCAGAAATAATGAGAGTTAGGATGTGTACTATAGGGGAAAGCTGGTGACATTTTCTTCAACTGAATACCCTCCCTTGTTTCAAACCCCACCCAATTTCTTTTAAAGTAGATTACGTTTTGCTGAATTGAGCATGTTCTTGTTGTCAATTGAAACTCATAGAGACCCAATGCACCATAGCTCTGAACCCTGCACTATCCTGAGCCAATCTCATTGTCCAATACAACTCTCCCTACTATCTCAGTTACTGTGTCAATCCATCTCATCTTAGATATTCCTATTTTGTGCTCTCCTGCCACTCTTCCAAGCATGATGTCCTTCTCCAAGGACTGCTCCTTCCTGAGAAAATGCCCAGAATATGTCAGAAGGAGCTGCAAAATCTTTGCCTCCAAAAAGCAACTAGACTTCAACCTCTCAAGGATAGACCTGTTTGTTGTCTTTGGCAGTCCAAGGTATATCCAATACTCTTCTCCAGCACCACAAATGTATCCATTTTTCTTCTGTGGCATCTTAGTAATTTTTAGATTTTCTTTTTATGTATAGCAAGGAATTACAAAAACAATGACATTGATCAGATGCATCTTAGTCTCTAGACTTACATAGTTGCTCTTTAGTTATTCTGGCAAGGTCAATAACAGAATATTTTCCCAATGTAATTTGTGTTTTGGTTTCCTGATTGCTGATACCAATGCTGTTGATTGCGGAACTGAAAGCTGAAATTGTTAACAATCTCAATTTCTTCACTTCTCCTGGGGCTGCCATTGGGCCCAATGGTTACAATCTTGGTTTTCTTGGTGTCGCTATTGAAGGCTATAGTCCTTGACCTTCCTTCATAAACACTTCAGGTCTTTTCTGTTTAGGCAACCAAGATTGTGTTATTTGAATACGGCAAATTATCATCGACTCTTCCTTCCCAATCATGACGTCACATTCCTTCTCAAAAAGTCTAGCGTCCCAAGTAATCTATTCCACATATGGATTCAAAAGTTATGTAGACAAGATGCACCAATCCCTGACATCTCCTGTCTTGATTTTGAACCTTGCAGTGTTTTCTTGCTCTGTTTTGACCAGAGCTTCCTGGTCCATGCATAGGTTTCACATAAGTACAATTACATGTTCTTGGATTCCCCACTCTTTTCAAGGTTAGTCAAAATTTGTTGTGATCCATGCTGTCAAATTTTTTTGGATAGTCAATGAAACACAAGTAGACAATCCTCTAGTACTCTACTCTCTGCTTTCAACCATAATCCATGTGAAATTGGCTATGATGTCCTTAGTGCCATGGCCTCTTCTAAACCTTATTTGCACTTTTGGTAATTCTCTGTGGATGTACTGTTCCTGTTATCTATGGATACTATTCAGCAGAATTTTGCCTGCATGTGATGCTAAGGCTATTGTTCAGTAATTTCTACACTCTGATGATCATGTTGTTTTGGAATGCACTAAATATAGATCTCTTTCAGTAGTTGGCCAGGTAGTTGTCCTACAGATTTCTTGCCATGACCTGGTAAGCACGTCTGTTTCAGTTTGTTGAAATATGTCAATTGTTATTCCATCAGTTCATGGGGCTTTGTTTTCTGCTAATTCCTTCAGAGCTGCTTAAGCTTCCTCCTTTATCACCATTGCCTCTTGAGTACATGTTGTTTGCTGAAAACCACCAGAATCAGTTAGTTCTTTTTGGTATAGTGACTCTGTACTCATTCCATCTTCTTTTAATACTTCCTGGATCATTCAATATTTTGCCCATAGTGTTCTTTATTTCTCACAGCATTCTTTTGTTTGTTTGAATGTTTGTTTCATGTCCTATTTTTTATTATTTTTTGTGTGTGTACCATCAAATCAGATCTGACTGGTACAGGAGGAGATTGTTCCTCCTTCTCCAGCAGAGCATCTGGTGGATTTGAACCACTCACCTCTGGGATTACAGTGCAGCTTCTCGCCACTAGGCCACCAGAGCTCCTTATTTCTCACAGCATTCCTAAGGCTTGATTTTGGTCTTTAATTCCTTCAGCTTAAGAAATGTCCCTTTTGATTCTCTACCTCCACTTCTTTGCACATTTAATTATAATACTTTGTGTTGTCTTTCTGAGCGTCCCTTTGAAATCTTCTTTTGACCTCCTTAACTGTTTTCACCTTTTACTTTGGTTTCTTGGCGTTCTAGTGGAATAGTCAGAATGTCTTCTGACATCCATCTTGGTCTTTATTGAAATGAGGCAAATATTCCAAATCTCAGGAGAAAAAAAAAATCAGATTTTATAAGCTGCATAGTTTTGTTGGCTTTCTATTGAAGCTGGAACAGCCTAGAGACTCCAAATTTATAACTGATTAATGGGAAATTAAAATTTTGCCAGAAATCCACGTTTTAAGATGTTATTTTCTTTACCTTTATGAATATGCTATGCAAAAAGTCATTGTACAAAACATAACATTTCAATATTTAATACTTTTGTGTTCCAGAATTGGTAAATATACTAATTTTTATTGTTTGTTTTTCAGTCAGAATAAAATTAATGTTATAGATATTTATGTAGTTACATATATATGAATAATTTTAGATATAATTTTTATTTATCTTTGAAAAAATGTCTTACAAAGTTTTCATAGGCATTTTAATTATTATTCTTAATTCTTTTTTTTTCTTTCTTGTTGCATACCGTCTAATCAGATCTGACTGGTACAGGAGGAGGTTACCCCTCCTTCTCAAGCAGAGCATCTGGCAGATTCAAACTGTATACCTCTGGGATTGCAGTGAAATTATTTATTTTTTGGTTTAGTTATTAGCCAGCCATACATGTGGAGAAAAATTGGGGGGGGGGATCTAAAACCAATAATCAAGTCTCAAAGAGATTTAAATTTTGGATTCACTAAAGTATGCTGTCAGAAATCTCTCCAAAATACTGAGCAATGGTGTCAGCCTGGAGACTAAGATTCGCCTGATACAGGCCATTATCTTTGCATTCACTTGCTATGCATCAGAAAGCTGTACAATGACTAGGGATGGTAAAAGGAAAATTGATATCTTTGAGCTGTGGTGTTGGAGAAGAGCTTTGAATATTCCATGAACTACTAAGAGAACAAACAAGTTCATCCCTGAGAGGGTGAAAGCAGGCTGCTCCTTGGAGGCAAGAATTCTGAAGCTTTGTCTGACATACTTTGGGCATGTTTCAAGGAGGTCCTTGGAGAGGGACATCATGCTTGGGAGGGTGGAAGGACAGCGCAGGAGAAGACCCTCAATGAGATGGATTGATTCAGTGTCTGGTGTAATAGTGGGTAGGTGTGTTGGAGACAGTGTGATTGGCACAGAATAGAGCATGGTTTAGGGCTGTTGCACATAGGGTCGCTATGAGTCACAGGCAACTTGACGGCACATAACATTAACAACAACAACAACGTTTAACCCAATGAAAAATAATGTTCATTGAGGAATCATCATTAACAGTAATTAAAGTATGTCACTTTAATTTGAAAATCACAAATACAATCCCTTTGGAATTTGAAAATAAATCCTCATGGAGAGAATGCTTCCTTTCTTTCAGGCATTTCATTTCGATAGTATTGAGGAAATTCATTCAAAGTTTCAGTGTCTGAATGCCAAAATCAACACACGTGATGCCTCCTACATCCTGAGACTTGCTAATAGGTTATATGGTGAGAAGACCTATCACTTCCTCCCTGTAAGTACTATCCACTGTGTCCTCTCAAATGCCCTTGGCTGGTGCACTGCCATAACATGAAATCAGTTCCAAACTTTCAAGTCAAAAACTCAACTCACTTTGTTAGTTATCCTTCTATTTTTACAATAATGGTCTTATGTAATATTTGTTTTTAAGAGACTGAGTTAGTTCATCCAGCATAATTAGTGATGATTAATTTTATAAGACAGACTGGGAAGGAAGGAAGGAAGGGGTGAAACCCCAAAAATCAGTATAGATTTTTAATGCAAACCAATATTTAAAAACCCACAACCCACAGATAAACTCAAGTTATTGCTGTTTAGTGTGAGTTGACTTCATTGAAACCTTCCAGGGAGATTTCAGAATCTGGACTGACCATTTTTCTCCCCCACAGCTTATAATGGATTTGAACCACTTGCCTTTGTGATGACAATGCCAGTCCTTACCCACTAAGCCACCAGTGATAAGAAGCATTCAATTCCAGTATGACTGGATTGCCTGTGTCTGTGAGATGAGACCCCACAGAAAAGTGATATAGAAAGGAAACCTGGTGCAGACAAGTTTTTCTTTCCATGACATGATGCTACTATGTGCATGGTGTCTGCAGTAGAAGGATGTGCCAGAAGCCTCTTGAAGCCAGTATTTGTTCCTTTATGAAGATCTTTCAGATAATTTGATTCAAAGAATTTCTAAACTTGCTTAAGCACTAAAAGTAGAAGAGTTAAGACCTGCTGTGTAAGAGTGGAATTTAGCCTCTTGGGATGATTGCTGTTGCTCTTGCAGATTTTACATAACAATTTTTGTATGTAATAAAAAACCACTCATAACACTTCCTTTTTTTTCTTTATAGGATTTCTTGGCAACAATTCAGAAAATCTATGGGGTTGATCTGGCCAATGTGGATTTCCAGCATGCCTCTGAGGAGGTGAGGAAGGAGATAAACCAGTGGGTCAAAGACCAGACAGAAGGTATGGGATTGAATGACACGTGAACCTTTACCTCAGGCCCAAGATCCTTCTCTGTGTTCCTTCCCTGCTCTCTCCCACTCTCCCCAGATGCACTCATAGTCAGATAGTGGTACAGGTGATGCCATATCCCCATTCAGATGGTAAAGGTGACACCATCTCCTTACTTCATTAAAATCTAAAGAGCTTCCAAATGTGAGAAATTCACCAAAATAAAAGCTTAGACAAAAATTAGCTAAGGTTCTGAGATTCTTCTCTATGTCCCATTCCCACTAGCTTTCCTAAATAACATTTTGAAATTACAGCTCATTTTATGTGTAAAATCAATAGAAGAAACATTCTGAGAAAATCCAGGATGCCTAAATTAATTTAATATACATATTAACAACAACATGTAAAGGAATATGACATACAAAACAAGTCATTGCAGACTTTCTCCACCGAAATCCTGTTAGATAAATCCTGCTTATTGGGGTGAGGGCTGGCTTATTCAGTCTCACATATCCTATTTCACATGTCTGTATTCCATGACTAAGACACTCCTAGTGTGTGGGAAGAGCCTTGGTTCAAAAGGTCTCGGTTTGAGTTTTTATTATGAGGGTACACTGGATGAATTTGAAAAGGTGATTTGCTAATAACTGAAAAAAAATCCCCTTTATCTGAAAAGCAAAGACAACTAACAGTATAAGGCTCACTGTTTGCCACACTATCCAAATAAAAATAGCCTTTTAGCATACACTTTCAAAGTGATGACTTCTATAAGACTAGGTGTGTTCATATACTTGTTCACCTAATAATGTATTTCATTTAAAATTTGACTTAGTGAGGGAGAATAGTATTGATCATACTACGGACTGTCAGGAGAACAAATACGTATGTCTTGGAAAGGGTGAAACAAAGTTTATTTTTGGAGAGTAGGATATTGAAGCTCCATCTCACATACTTTGAACAGTGGCCAGGAGGGACCAGTTCTTAGAGAAGGACGTGCTTGGAAGTGTGGAGGGACAGGGCAGGGAAGAAGATCATGGGTAAGATGGATTGACATGTGATGACTGGAGAAATTCCTTTAGGTGTGTCAGAGTCAGTGAGTATGGCTCAGAATATTGCAGGTTCAGAGCCATTGTACAATGGGGTCACAATGAGTCACAGGTGACTTGATAGTAACTTAACAACAAGAGCAACAAAGTTTGATTTCTGAAACCAATATAAACCTTAACCAATTTAAGCCTTGGTCAAGCTTATTAAGAATTTCTGTTTAAAGGAGAATGCAGTAGAAAGCTATACATTTGAGCCACACTTGAGTGCTAATTCAAATTAGTTCAAACTGAGTTTCTGACAGGAAGTTTAAAAAAATATTTTGTGTCTTTTCAGGGAAAATTCCAGAATTGTTAACTTCAGGTATGGTTAACAACTTGACTAAGCTCGTGCTGGTGAATGCCATCTATTTCAAGGGGAAGTGGCAGGAAAGATTTCTGGAAAAGTACACAACTGAAGAACAATTCCATTTGAATAAAGTAAGGAAATGTAATTTTCAAAAATAACTTCTTACCATAAAAGAACACAGTTAATTTGAATGATATGTCTCTTTGACCTACTCAGAAAGACAATAAAATGGTGAAAATGATGTATCAGATGACAATATTTCCATACGGCTATATTGATGAAGTAAAGTGCCATGTGTTAGTACTGCCTTATAAAGACAACGAACTCAGCATGGTCATCCTGCTGCCATGTGACATTGAAGATGACTCCACAGGTCTGAAGAAGGTAATGCTGAGTTTGCCCGATTCCTCCCTTGTATGTCAGCTGGGAGATGTTCTGTCACCATTTACTGACACTGACTTTCCTTCCCAGTTCATTCTGAGTCCCTTGAAATTAGTCCACCTACATTTACTACTCCAATATCCTAGATTAAAAGATTAAGGAAAGGTTTACAAATCAGAGTGGTGGCAGACATCTAAAGAACTATATTAAATTTAGTATTATTACTGGTAAATGATAAAAATTTTGCCTGTGGAATCAGCTTTACAGGAAAGTACAGAACCGAGCACTGCTTCCTTGAATGAGAAAAAAAGACAGAAAAAAAATCTGAAAATGTTATAATACATAGCTGCTTCAAATATAATATTTTATTATACTAATTATTAGCTTGATACATATAGGTCAGGAATTATATTTCCAAAATTTCATGATAGAAGAGAAGTGGTAATGGAATATTAGTCTTACTTCCTTATATAAATAATTACATGTAATTTCAGGTTCTGATATCTATCAGGTGCTCTGAGGAAGAGAGATGGGCAACCTCCTCCTGGGTGATTTTAAGCTTGTGAAAACTCAACTATTAGGTGGTTCTGACTCAACAGCTAATGCTTGTTTGGGTTTTGTGGGTGCTTTTTTTTGTTTTATCTCTAGTTAGGGTTAGAACTAGGCCAAATAGTGATAATAATTTTTCTACGATGTTCCTACTGTGCACTGGCTGTGATTTTTAAAAAGTTAAAACAACAGTTAGTTGATTCAAAATGTGTGTGCACTTTTATACAGGTCAAACTGTTAGGAATAGGGTCTAATATTAGTTATTTACACTTATATGTATGAAAATCAATGCATTGTTTATTTTAACAGGATTTTTATGTTTGTAATATCTGTGACTTAAATAAACAAACCCTTTTCCATCAAGAAGCTTAACGAGAATAGGATGAATGGAAAAATGGTTTCATTACAGTTTGATAGTAATAATAACAGTCATATAAATAATGTTGGTGACATTGAACTGATTGTGATTTATAGCAATATTGTGAACAACAGAATGAAATATTATTGGTTCCTGTGCCATTCTCACAATCACTGCTGAGCTTGAACTCATTGATGAAGCCACTGTGTTCTGAATGCCATGTACTTTATAGAGAATAAATTATGTAGTGCTCCAATAATACTAAAAAGAGAGCATTTTTATTCTCTTTATTTCAGAAGATCTAGCCCTAGCACACTATGTGACTTTTTTTATAAACAATTTTTAAATTAATTTTAAAGTTTACAGACTTTAGACTACATGACTTTTTATATTTCATCTAAGTTTCTCACTCTTATTACCATCAGTTGAGAATTTACTTATAGCTGACCCTCCATTGAGTTTTCAGAGACAACAAATCCTACAGAAGTATACTGCTCCATTTTCTCCTGGAGCAACTTGTGGATTGAAAATACCTGCCTTTGGATTGGCAGGGCAGCTCCTTACCAACTGGACCATCAGGACTAAATTTATTAGCACTGATTTCCTTAGCTCCACTGAGTTTCACCAGCAACAGTGGAGTTAAAAATGAAGAGAAGTGTTTCAATTTGTCCTTGTATCACTCGACCAATTAGCACTCTGATGTTAGCATCATGTTGGCCTATCACAGTGATCCATGTGTGATGGGGACTTAGTAAATTCTGAGTGAGTGAATGGATGGCAAATGGATGATGAAACAAATATGGATGGTTATGAATAATGGTCTTCTTAGTTCAAAGTCCTTATCATTGAGCCTTCAATGACCTGGAACTTGACTGTTATTATTATCAACAGTTGCTATCCATTTCCAAAAGAAACCAAATCCTCCCCAAAATATCTGATTTGGCACAAATATGAAGGAAACAAATTAGACAAAAGATATGTGTCCATTTACTTAAATACCAGTGACCAAAGAATGTTTATTTTGCTTATTATATTGCATGAGATTGAATTTATTTCTTCTTTTTCTTTATTATTATTACAGATTGAGGAACAGCTGACTTTGAATAAACTGAATGAGTGGATCAATTCTAATAATTTGAAGGCAGTTGAAGTCAAGGTCAGCTTGCCTAGGTTCAAGCTTGAAGAGAGCTACAATCTCAACTCTCACCTGGCCCGTCTGGATGTGCAGGATATATTTAATCCTAGTAAGGCAGATCTGTCTGGCATATCAGGAGCAACACATCTTTTTATATCAGAAGTTGTTCATAAATCCTTTGTGGAAGTAAATGAGGAGGGTACAGAAGCTGCTGCTGTCACAGGAATTACTTGCTGTGATTGCAGTTGTCGTCGACAAGTTCCGTATTTCAATGCCAACCATCCATTCCTTTTCTTTATCCAACACAATGCTTCAAAGTGCATTCTCTTTTTTGGCCGATTTGCTTCTCCATACTGATTATGGAAACAGAGTCAGACCTAGAGCCTTATCACCTGAGCTTTTAATGGTAACAAAAAGTATATTTACCAATAAAAATTATTTCCTGAACCAAGTTTGTTTTTTTTAAATTTATTATTAATTTCAATGAAAATTTACAGAGACTTTTAATTTCCATTCATTCATTGTTGTACTTTTCTCCCCTCCCAATCTTGGAAATGTAAAAGAAAAATTCTTTCATTGTTTTACAATCCCTCCTCCCAGGTCCGCTCCACTATACAGCCTTTACTCTGGACTTCTATAATGACAAAAATACCTAATCACATATCCCTCTTAAACAGTTTTCTCCCTCATCTGTTTCAATGTCATATACATTATTGAACCCATCTTTCTGAATCTCCCCCCAACCCCGAGGTCAGTACTGTTTTACAATAGCGGCACCATGCAGTATTTATCCTTTTGTGATTGAGATACTTCACTCTGCATAGTGTCCTCCAGGGTCACCCATTTTGAATAATATTGCATGA